TTACAAAATATTTGTAATTATATTTTTAAATAGCTTTGCTTTATTAAGGACATTCTAAATTTTAGTTATAAACTATTTAAAAAATAAAGAAAAAAGAAAGCTCAAATCACCTATACTTTTATAACTAAAGAAAATTATGCAATGTTTAAAGTAACTGTATAGTGTTTACACACACATAAACTGTATATGATGCATATATATATATATAACATTTTTCATACTAAAATGGGATGTTTTTTATGACCTGATCATCTTAGATACTTTCATCCACCATTTGTTTAGAAAATTTTCCCTATCACCAAATTTGGAAACAATCACTTCTACTGTGTTCTAAGTACTTTTATGGTTGATTATTTTTGTTTTACTTTTTAGCTTTATTTCATTTTTATCTTATTTGATTGGATGATATTTATCATCCAGTAACATCAGTTAATAAGTTTTCTTATTTTCTTTTTGATCCAAACTAATTAACCTTGAGAAATACTTTCTAGGCCAGAGTCTCTGGACCAGTGTTTCTATATCAGGGGTTGGAAAACTCTTACCTCGCAGGCAAAAACTGGGCTACCATTTGTTTTAATATGACTTGAAAGCTAAAAAGGATTTTTATACATGAACACATTTATGATTTGATGATTGAGAAAACCAAGTTTTAACTATAATTAAGGAAAATGTAACTGGCCCCAAATTCTTTTCATTAGAACTACATTACAAAAAATATACTTTTATTATCATTATCACTATATTTTGAATTTTGTCTATTTTCAAATGTGTAGAAATCTGTTTTTGTCTTTTTATATAAGTACCTGAGTAATATCCTTGAGTTTACTTCTTGTCCCACAAAGGCTGAAATAATTACTATCTGGTCCTTTACAGAAAAATTTTGCTGACTCCTGTTCTAGATTTTTATAAGTGTGGATAAGAATCACCTGAGGGCTATGAGAAAAATGTAGATTTTTGTTGTTTACTCAACCTTCACCCCACCACATCAATTTTGACTCAGTAAGCCAAGGGCAAATCCTAGGCATATCAATTTTAACACTCCTGGTGATTCTGATACACTGTGAATCAAATTTTGAGAAACAGAATGACGATTTGCACTGGGCAAGTTTCAGTATACAGGTTTAAATTACATGTGGGCCAGTACTTCAACACCAAGCTGGTAAATATCAGTTCTTTGTACAGATCTCAATGGAGTGAATTGCCACAGAGACCCTACTTGCCTACAGCTCTTTCCACTTGCCATCATTTGTCTAAGCACCTTTCCTTGGAATACAGCCTTGTTTGGGAACCAAAGTGCTGTTTTTGGTCTCTTAGGTATGTGGTTCTTAATTTGAACCCATGTGATATTGCATACACCATTGTTCCAGGGTTCCATGCATTTGTTCTTATTTCCCTTTTATTCCCTCTGCATTATTGCTTATTTATATACATATGTATGTATGCACATATCCATCCCTCCAATTTCCCTATAAATCCAAGATTTTAACTTTACTATAATTAGTACTATCTCCTACCCCAATTGCCATGCGAACCTTAAATTTTTTATGGGAATGATATACCATTTGTGCCATAGTAACTATTCTGAAATTTACCAGTGCACCTTGAAAAGAGCAAATATTGGGACATCTGAGTACAAACAATAAAACATACAGAGCTTTAAAAAAATCAAAACACTATAGTACATTTCAGAGTCATTGTTATTAGAAGTTAGAAATTATTGCTGAAATACCTTAAGAAGACTTCCAGGAAGTCCTGAAGCTTTCAGATAATATATGGAAAATTAAGAACAGAAGAAATAATTTATCTTCTGAGACAACTTGAAACGTTAAATCCTGACTCCTCTTAATGAAGTTCCCATGAGATGCCACAAATTCATATTTCCAAGGGCCAAATATTTCCCCTTTTTTCCACCTCCTCTACATTTTCATTGCTCCTTTAGTACTACATCGATGGTGCTCCCGAGCAATGTGGCTCCCCTCTCTGGGGAGCTGTGAGGGATTTCTATGATTTTTTTACCCTTTTGTATCCAATCCTCACTTTTACATATTTTTGTAGGAGCTGTCTCTCTCAGGACCATGTATTAACTAATATTAGTTTTTTGTGTGTGTTTCAAAATATGTGTGTTTAACTTATCTGAAATTCCTCTTTCACTGATGAATCCCTAATACTGACTAAAATCATTATATATAGTGTTCTATTATTCAGTGAACCTTCATTTTGTTTCTCAGGGATAAATTCCATATTGTTTCATATGTAATGACATTTTCACTTTCATCCAGAAACCTGAAAGATAGATAAAGATAGACAGCCTTTGCACATTAAGCAGTATAAACAGTTCTACCAAACAATACTTTAAAGATGTCATCCAATATCAATTAAAGCATAATTCTCAGAGCTCTAAATTCTAGGTGTCAGATAAGAGATAAAATTTCAAGCATGCAATTACTTAGATCAGAAAGCCAGCTTAAATGAGCTTTATCATGAAACTAGCTGTTGAGGAAAGGTTATGACACTGTTTAAAACAATTAAGGCTGCATATAGATAGTTTTCATTGTCTATGCTGTCACTTTAGAATGACAGCTTGGAATGTTGCCTTCATATCTCAAAACTTGTCCCACATTAGTGGCATATATTTCTAGTTGTATTACCCAGTCCTTTGGTATTCAGATGCTTCAGCCCATGTATACATTATGAAACCACAATTCCAGACAGGCCCCTTAGCTTTGCTGTTGATTTAATTAACATCATTCTGGTATTTACATTTTTTAAAACGTATATCTTCAGCTAGACACATTCATCCATATATAAACAGTGGATGTTTCCCACCATCTACTGTGGCTTAACATGCAAGTCCTGAAACTTTATCTCAACAAAATGGTACACTATCACATTCATGCACACCTAATAGAAATTTTTGAGGTGATGATGTTTAGACAAACTATGTAAACCAGAAATACCTTCTAGACACTTAAGTGTTCAGCAAGGGTAGAGTTGAGATTAGGTGATGGAGGTAAGAGAGTAGAGAGGAGCAGATTAGGACCAGTAATCATTTAAGGAATTCATTACAAGTGAAATGTTCCTGAGGTTTAGTATTAGCGTATTAGTAAAATTAGTGTTAACAATAACCATACAAATTGAATAAGATGCTTCACCTTCAAGTAGATATCGAAGTAGGCAGAATTTTACTATTTTTACAGTGTTCATTTACATTTATAACATTTAAATGACTCTTTATTTCTCTATGTTCTGTTTAATTATCCTTGAGTCAATTCACAAATCCTCCATTTTTAAAATTGTAATGAACAGGGAAACACATTCTACATCTTCACTTGCATTACTTTGTTACTGTCCTTACCATAATGTCATAAAGCTGCCCCTTCATCACAAAAAAATATATATTTATTCCTTTAAGGAGATTAACATATAATAGATTTTGTATAATAAAAGCAATTAGGGATATATATGGGCTTTCTGAAACAATGAAAAAGAAACGCCTACAAAATCTTCCCCACATTTGTTCTATTCAAGGATTTAGTCTGCCCCAAATCTTCAGAAAAGTAATTTTAAAGTCATTTGCTATTCTGTGTCAATTAGCTTAAAGTTACTTTTTAAGTGTTACCAAATATTGATTTTAAAATTCCTTCATTTTTCAAAAGCATAATTTGTTCTTTGGAAGTTTAAGATCAATCTCAAAAAGATGTAAAAATATTTATTCTAAATTATAGAAGACTTATTTTTTTTGATACAAAACGTGTCAACATCTGTTGTTTCACTACTAGTTCTAAAATAAAAAGAAACTAATTTACTCTGATATCTGAGACAATCATGTCACACAATGTCACCACTCATTCCTTCTCTTGAAGTACCTCTACAGCACTAAATTTTTAAAAATTAAATAAACTAAGGCGGCCCCAAACTTTTGATGAGAAATTTAGTGAGAACATTGATCTTTTTTTATGCCAAATAGGAGCTCTTTAAAATTGACTTTGACCTTTGAGGGTGAAAGCAGTTAGAGTTACTTTTTTAAAGTTTCATAGGAATTATATCCTCAATACTTCTACATTCAGTTAGGCTTTTATCTTCTCAGATTTCTGATGGTAGCTAGATTATTTCTAACTACTGACCATAATCCCCTGGAGCCAAGAGGGACACATTAACTTTCCCAAGGATCCAAGAAGCCATTTGTTAGGTTATACTTCATGGGAAGTAAATAATTCCCTGAAATATATGACTCAATTTATTTCATATACATAAGCACTGGTCTCTCAAGGATTATTGTGATCACTTGGTTCAGTGTAGGAGCAAGACCTTGTGAAATAGTCTTGGTCTTGAAGCACCAACCCATCAATTTATTTTAAAAATGTTACTCTACAAATAGGCTTTATTTAAGTCATGCCAATTATTAGAAACTTTGAGAGGCTTATTAATCAAGTTTTGAGCAACAAGGAAAAAAGAGAGCATGAGAAATGTAAAAGCACTGATAGTACTTTACCAGTATGAGCATGCGTCTATGTCACCAGTAACACTATGACAGAAGCACCAATCTATGTAACCAATCAGTTCTCAATCATTTCCTCATAGGATGAGATTTACTTAAAAGGGTTTATTCTGTAGTTACTCATTTCTCTTGTCAAATACTTAAAAGATAAATGGAAAACAAACAAATGGAGGGATATAATCCATAGATTATGAACTCATTAACTCAACAAATAATCATAGAATACTAACTATAGTCCAGGTATTGTCATATGTTCTGGGAACACCTGTTTCATCTATATTCAGTAATGTATTGATACATTTATAGCTATTCCCTTAAATTAGACCATTTATTTATAGGAGAGATGGTATTCACTCCATTCCTAACCATTCCCTTAAACAAATGGCTATTCTTACTTCTTTTCACTAGGTTAAAGATAGCATTACACATGATTTTATTTCTCCCCTTACAAAGATACAATTGGAAAGGTGCCAGTATGTATGAAACTTCCTGAACAGAAAAGCCTCACCCAAATAACTTTTAATATGATGGTTTACGATCACAAAGCAATGTTTTTAATTTTCTTCTCCCTGGGCACATTTGAAATTTGTACAAGTAACTGTTCTGAAAAGCTACAAAAAACAACCTTGGTTTAAACAATCCATTCTTAAGCCAATCATTTGATGGTATAGTTTTACAAATTTTTATTAATTATCTTGTACTAGGAAATGAACAATAACCTATTTTTGATGCTTTGTCACTGAATTATTTTGCTTCTCCTTGGAAGGCTTAATTATTAGGAGTCTATTAAATGTAGCTTAAAGTGAAAAGTACAAGATTGAAAACTTCCCAGTTGTTTGTGTTCAAATACAGATTATCTTTCCTTGATATTGTTTACCTGCTTTTTACCAACTGAATTTACAGAGTTTTTTTGACTGTTTTGCAAGATCCTAACCCATATATTTTATCTGTATTTAGGCATATTTCAATTACTCCTTTTCTTTATACTGACTGGCATTTTGAAAATAGTAATAATTTAAATACTCAAATAATTTTCCAAAATATATCATATGATTATACTTGAAGATTTTTATCTGCTAGAAATCTTATGCAATTTATACTGAATCAAAACATTTGTAAAGGTTTTAGATTAAACTGGCCACTTCAGGTTTATAAATTTAAATGAAGACTGGTAATGGCTAAAATGGAAAAGAGAGAACATGTGGTAAATAATTTTCTATGTAACTACTTTGAATTTTATATGGAATTGCATCATTTTCGTATATTTTAATGATCACAATGATGTAAAGCAAGTGAGTTCATAAAATATAAAAACTTGTATCCTGTTAGTTTTTTGTCAATTAAATGAATACATCTTGATGTTTTAAAATTTTGATACATATATCAATATGATGTGCATTTTTATTTTTCTAGTAGACTTAAGCTTTTACATGCTATATATTTTTCAAGCTCATATAATTTATATTGTTCTTAAGCAAAGATGTTCATCACAGCATTTTTTACAAATGTAGAAAACATTGAAAAACATAAATCATATTCAATAATGAACTACTTAGATAAGTTATAGTATATCCAAACAATGGAATACTATGCAGTCACTAAAATGATGGTACAGATTGATATGTATTCACACAAAAAGATGATATTTTAATTTAAAATTTAAAAAACACATAATAGTACATATGGCATGTTTTCTTTTATGTTTGTAAAGCAGTGTGTGTATAAATAGGAAAAAGGGCATGGGAGGATATGCACGCATGAAGATATTAATAGTGGTTATTTCTTATCTGAGGGGATTTAACTTCCTTCTTTATAAATTACTGCATTGTGTACAATTTTTTTCAATGAGCATGTGCTATGTTTATAGTCAATAAAAACTGATTTCCACTTAAAATATTTGGTAATGAATTTACATGTAACTTGTAGGTAAACAATTACAAATAGCTTAATAACAAAAGTATTAATAAAATTGTATATTTATATTGTATTATGTATGAAACTTAAGATTTCTATATAAGGTCATAAAAACCAACTGAGAATGGAGACAGAACCTTTTCTTATGGTTGGATCTGGCACATGGTGAATCCTATTTTTGAAAAATAATTACTTAAATTTTACATAAGTTAATTATTTCTCTGTTTGCAAATGGATTTGAACTGGCGTACATTAGAAGAAAAACAACCTTAAGAAAATATAAAAGTAAAATAAATGCAACATGGACGGAAGGTGAATGGGTGGGGAGAAGAGGGAACTGCAAGAGAAATATGGAAAATCGGTAATTTAGAGATTGCAGGCTAAATGTCAGTGCAATATAGAACAAAACACTTTGTCACAATTTACAAGCAGCCAGACACAAAGAGAACCAATATTGGATTAACAGCTCTCATATTATAGATAGAGGTATGTGATATAATCAGGAGAGACAACTTTTTCCTTAACTTTGAAACATCTATGAATATTATTACATAGATATATTCAGCAATTTACAAGAGATAATGACAAGTTTAGTAGATGTTCTTCAAAGTAGTTTTTCAACATGATTTCATGGATTTACCTTTTAGGTTGACACTTAAAACATCATGGTAAAATCTTAAAATTATAGGCAAAGGTAATTCAGTGCAGTTACTCATCTTTCTAGCTAATTTAATATGATCCAATGTAAAAAGTTTAGAAAAATGAGTAGTAAGAATGCTCCTTAGACTGTCCTCAAAAAATCTCTCAGGGAAGGTTTTTCAGATGAAACTCATAATTTAAATAATCAATACCTCAAGTGTTAATTTTCTAAGGTACTGATTAAGAAAACACCAATACGCTTATATCTCTGGGCATGAAATTAATAAACACCCAACATTTAGTCAAAGCCACTATCAAGTTTATAGTATACCCACAATATATTAATAAGGGTAAACATAAATAAATAAAAAACATTCACATCTTTTCAAAAGAATATTCATTTTAAATCATAAAATGAAATTAATCACACACATTAATTGGATCACATACATTTTCCCCTGCTCTGCTGATCTGTCAAAAAGTAAGACGTTTTTGCTGTGATAGATTCAGAAGGACAATTTCGAGAGTATTTTCATATTAGAGATTAAATTTAGTGTTGTCAAAATTTGGAAGGAAATATACTTAATCAATTACCTCACCTTGACTGGTTTAGGGAAAAAAAATGTGCGGAGGAATAAATTTTATTCAACATATTCCTAAGGATATCATATCAAAAAATAGTACAAAATGACAGTTTTACAATTAGAAATTATGCTTTTCACTAAGATGAACAAGGTGTTCTAAGTACCACTTTTTTCAAAAGAAAGTATTTACTTAAAAAAAAAACCTGTGAATTGGCATAAAATAACCTCTTATCACAAAGTAGCCCATACTAAGTAGGCACCAGCTTTAGGCTGAAACAAATTGAGCATTCTCTTCTTATTCTCACCACCTGCGCCTGGTGTGGCCCAGGGTAACATGCAGGGGCCTGGAGCCCACTATGCGACCATTCATTTCATCCACTGCTTTGGTAGCCTCTTCAAAAGAGGAGAAGCAGACGACACCAAACCCTTTGCCTTGCCCCACTTCCACCATCACTTTGGCCCGACTAATTGATCCAAAAGAAGAAAATTCCTCCTTCAGTTTTTCATCATCGACCCTCTCATCCAGGTTCTTAATATAGATAGGCACCCCTGGAGGACGACTTTTTTCTTTTAATCTCAGCCGTTCAAATCTTCGCCTTAACTCAGCCAGACGTTCAATTTTCTTCTGTGCTCGCCCTACATAGAGGACCTTCCCATCGATGGACTTCCCATGCAGGTCTAACACAGCCTTTTGGGCAGCCTCGTGTGTCTCGTATCTCACAAATCCAAAGCCTTTAGATTTCCCATTGGCATCTCTTATTACCTTAACACTCTCAGTTGGCCCATATTCACTAAAAATTTCCTCCAGTTTTTCGTCATCCATGTCATCTCCAAAGTTTTTAACGAAAACATTGGTGAAAGTTGCTCTATCCCTGGTTCTGACTTCGGCTGCCCGCTCTTCCGGAAATTTGAATCGTCCAACATACACCTGGCGGTTGTTGAGCCGCACTCCGTTCATGTGCCAGATGGCCCTATTGGCAGCAGCTAGGCTGTCAAAGTGCACATAGGCATAACCCTTAGAGCCGTTGTCATCACATACGACTTTGCAGGAGAGAATGTTCCCAAATGCAGAAAATAAATAAAAAAGGGCTCTATTGTCTATGGACTTGTCCAGGTTTTTGATGAATATATTTCCAACTCCAGACTTTCTTAAGCGGTCATCTGGCTGAGACCACATGAGGCGGAATGGTTTGCCATTAATTAGGTCAAAATTCATGGTGTTCAGGGCCCACTCAGCATCTGCAGGGAAGCGGAAGTTAACATAACCGTAGCCCAGGGGGCTGCGGGTCATCGGGTCACGACAGATTCTAGTGAAGCGCAGAGGGCCAGCAGGCCTGAACTTTTTATACAGCATGTCCTCAGTAACATCTGGGTCCAGGTCACCCACGTACAGGGCAGCCTTGAGGTACTTCTTTTTCTTGCCAGCAGGATTAGGCTCCCCACTCCCCATCTCTCTGAGTACAGGGAGGAGGCTCTCTTGGGAGAGAAGAAAAGGCTGCTTTCTCTAAGCTATGGGGCCAAGCAGCTGTTCACAAACAGGAAAAAAAAAAAAAAAAACCCAGGCGAAGGAAGCTAAAAGCAGACTCAGAATCACTGTTGAGGCTGAGAAAATCAAGTTCAGAAACAGCTGGTCAGCAGGCTCAGAACACAAGCAGCAGACAAAAAGGCCCCCCAATAACGAATCTGTGCTCCCTAAGGGGACTTAAAATTTCCACCCATTCTGATTTAAAATCCGTTTCAAAAGCCAGTAGTAGGAAATTTCCCTTTCCCCGTTAAATTGTAAGAAATCATCAAGCAGCTGGCTGGTTCCCCACATCTAGCAATGCCAACACAGGCCTGGAGACCCGTTTTCTGCATAAATATAGGCCTCGGGCTCCTGTTGGCTTAAAATTCTAGCAACAAGGGTAGGGGCCGGACGTGTATTCCTCCGCCGGCTGCTTGGCCGGTCTCGGGCGGACTCGCGGCTAACTAAGGCCGCTATACACACTCCGCGTCAGCGAAAGGGGAGACTGGACACTTCGTGCGCCAGGCCGGCAGGCAGGCTGCAGGCGGCGGATCGAACCGAGAGACAGACAGACAGACACACGAGCGGGGGACCTGAGACCGCCCAGATACCCAAGATGCCCACTGGGTACGGACCGAGTGACGCGCGGTGATTTCGGCAGCCTGAGGCTCGTGGCGGGTCCGGAGGGACTGACTGGCAGCCGCGCACTGGGTCCGCGGCAGGACGCGAGGCGGTTCCGGACAGATGTGGGGCGGAGTCAGAAGAGACGGGCAGATGCACTGCGGCCGGGCGGACAGAGCGTGGACGGATGGACAAGGATTGCTCTCCGTAGGACAGACCGACCCAGGGACGAAAAGCCTGTATCTGCGGTGGGGAGTGCGCGCGGGCGGGGCGCGAGGAAACCCGGAACCGTGCTAAGTAACTTCCCGCTTTCTCTGTGCCAAGATTTAAAAAAAAGAAAAAAAGGAGAAAGAAAATGAAAATTGTTTTTAGATTTTTATTTTGAACATTTTATTTCATTATTTTGACATACTATCTTTAGGCTGCTTTATTTCGATCCCAAAATCGAGGAGGTGGTAACCTAGGCACCATATAGGAAAGAAAATAATAGAATATAGGCTGCATACTTACCCGAGTGCACTGCAAAGTTAGAAGTGACAGCTGGCCTGGAATCCCAGTTCAGTGTAAATGATCGCAGGGTCAAATAAAACACAAGGCCATATTGTGTTCGGCCTTTATCCTTACTCCGTTAAACTGCAACAGAATGGTAGCATCATCCCCAGATAGTAGGCAGTTCTTTTCACTGCTCCAGTAATGCTAAGGTTTTAATGATTGGGAAGCCATTAGATAGCTTTTAATGGTGCTTAGTGCCACAAAACGGTGAAGATGTGCTACCTCCATGATTACAAATTACAAAATCTTAGTTCAAGAGATAAAAGCTGCAGAGTCAATGCAAAATATAAAATTGTTAACAAAAACTGGTCCTTGTTACCAAAGTAAAATCACAGAACACATTTTGTTTCTCTTCTTAGTTCCTCCTCAGTAACTCCGGACAGGATGGCCTGGGTTCTGTGAAATCTGCTTTCTGCCTTATCTCTGACCTTGAGACTCAGAAAATAGGGAGAACAAACAAACTGCCACCTGTTAGTGGTTACAAAGTTTTTGGAGCTACTTGAGTTCATTTTCAAGTCAAAGTTAGTGTTAAATTTTAAACCCAGAGAATTAATTCAGTTTTCCTCTATTACATAATTGATGTTTGCAAATGAAATAAACATGTAAAGAAATAGGCACTTTATGCAATTAACTACTAATTTCAATATGAGTTGTCAACTGCCAACCCCTGCAGGAAATGATGCTATAAAATTAGACTCAACTCAGAGGTTTCTCTCTTTAAAAGAACATCTCTCTTTAGAGTTGGAGAAACTGTTTTAGAATGGAATTTTGTCCTGTCTTTGAAAAATCTCTAATATCTGTAACACACAACTCCTCATCCAGCCCTTTTCACAACCCCTTTCCTCAAAAAGAAAACCCAAACAAAACATGTTATCAGTACCATTAGGCTGGAAAAGATCCTGGCAAAAAAAGAATGCAAAATAAATCTCCCCAAAAGGTGTTGTCTTAAAAAGAAATTCTCAGGAGTAACAGGCTAAATTCATATGCTGCTTCGTTTTTACATTTTACATTTATTAGACTGTCTGGTTGACTAAAGATGGAATTTATGCTTATTATTTACTCAAATGTTTAGGAATTGTTTGTCTTCCTTGAGCTCTTCTGCTGGCTTCCCATGGTTGTTGTTTAGCTCGGACATGGAGACTATGTGATAAAAGACAAATATAAACAAGAAAAATTATAGAGATAGACTAATAAAAGTTGGTCTTATAATATGACCACAGTAACCAATATGTAGAAACACTTGTGAACACCTGCTTAGTTTATTGTATTGTGAACATAACTTTCATACATAGCTTTCCTCATAAACTTAATTAGCAATGGGCCAGAATATTGGACTTTTCTTTTTCACATTTCAAAGTATTACTTTACTGGAAATGCAGTATTAAAATAACAATGTATATACAAGAGTTTAATTCACACAATGTTATCACTGAATCAAATCAATATTTTACTTGTGTATGTAACCATCTGAATATTCTCCATATTCCAATTCATTTGTACATATTTACTCTTAGATAATAGGTAGAATTGGATTGTTCAAAGTAATTATTTTCAAAATAACCTCCTTTCTACACTAACCAGCCATTTTGGGGTCATTGCAGTATAAGCATTCTAAACTAGAGTGACCTTTTTATCAGATCAAAAATCAGAAATTTAGAACTGCTTTGAAATAAATGAATTTTAGCCAAATTCCCTCTTCTAAGCAGAAGTTTATGGGAAAAAAAAGCATTTTTACCTAAAATTTGCTTAATCATTTTAATATTTAGATCGAGAAGAGTCTCTGGAATAAAAATCAGATATAGAATATTTCTCTTATTTATTTATATATTAAAGGCAAGTTGATTAGTCTATACAAATCTGATTCACATATAATCCATTAAAAAGTCCCACCCAGATTCCTAATGCAGTTGAAAAATCCTGGGCGAATAGCATTCTAAGGGCATCTCATCACACATTGTTATTTAAAGTTGCCAGAAATGTATCAGCATGAGTGGAAGAAGAGGAGAGTTGGGAATTTATTTTTTCTTCCTTGTCTTAACAGGCACTTGATCTGTATTTCCAATTAAAAGGCTCAGCTGTACAAGTTGCTGGCAGTTCACAATGAAAGCAAATTTACTACTGTCTTTAATGAGGTCTGGGACGGCTGGACAAAATATTGTTAAGTGAAAACTATTACCTAGAACTTGGCTCATATTTTTTTAGACAAAGATAGGAAAGCTGCAAGACAATTTGACATTGAGAATGCAGTATTATCAGGCATTTCTACAGTAAGTTTTGAAGCCAGTAGCAATTATTTTTCTCCATTTCCAAAAAATTTGTCGTAAGCCATAAGTGCTCATGCTGTGGATGATAATCCTGAAGATACTTTGATAAGATTAATTATCAGAGATGAAACTGTGCTTATTAGAATGTACTTACTAAAGCAAGCTAAAGGGACCAAAACTGGTAGTTTCAACAGAGTTTACAATGGAACTGGATTTATGCTGAATTGCTAATAAACCAAAAGATCTCATCCTTTAATTTTTAGTCAAAATTTCAGTATTTTCAAATTGTAAAACTACAGTTTAGATATTTATTCAGGACTGTAGCTGTAATTCATACACTTATTTTCTTGGGGAATTTGTTGTAAATTAAAAAAAACACTTCTATAAAAACAGTTTTATGAACTAAATCCCTGTTGAATTAAAAAGACATGCACTCAGCTATGAAGAAATCCCTAGTATTAAAAAACATAATAAAAGTAATACTTTATATATATTTAGGTTTTGTTAGGTCTCCTTAGAGTACTTTTAATTAGATCCTATTGGTTTAAAATAAATCCATGGAAAACTACATGTGAATTTATGCAATTGCTATGTAGTCATAATCCCATCTATTTAGAGTTTTCAATAACATATGTGATGTAGAATCAAAGTACAGTATTTTCTGTTATGATGCATTGAAATAGGGCAGGGTTATCACCCACTAAGTAGATAGTCTCAGACAAATCTTTCTCCTTTCTAGGGTCTGTTTGCTGAGCACGTCTCCTACAGGAAAAATACACACACAGACACACACACACCACATTCTCTGATTAGAAATCTTTAGTTATAGTCATTTCACTTGACCTAAAAGAAATGAAAGAATAATTTTTAAAAATGTAAACCTTATGCTTTATTTTTATTTTCATTTTTAAACTGTGGTAAAATACACAAAAAGTTTACCATCTTAATGATTCTTAAGTATGCAATTCAGTGGCATTAAATATATTAACTACATTCTTATGTAACCACCACCACTATTTCCAGAACTTTTCTCATATTGTCAAACTGAAACCCTGTACCCATTAACCTATGCTTTTAGCTGACACTTAAAATACGTTAAGCCAATTCTTTATAACAGTTGGGCGTTAAATCTGCCTTAAGTTATTTTACTGACATGACACACAATGCTATAATAAACATACTTTTCATATACCTTTGTATATTATTGCTCCTATTTCTGTTAGCTAGAGGTTCAGAAGTGGATTGTACACTTAAATGGTATGTGTATTATTAAATGTTAATATATACTGTCAGACTTATTTTAAAAATGCTGCAATTTACTTATTTTACCAACAACATGAAAATTTAGAGGAAATGGCCATTCCTAGCAAAACAGGAATTACCAGACTTGATTCAAAGGAGAAGTGGAAGAACAGTTGCAATAGAACAGAATGATCACACATATGCTATTAAAAAAAAAACAGGCACAGGTAGTTTTATAGTATAGTACAATTATATCATCTTCAAGAAAATATATGCAGGGCTAACACTATTCAAACTATTCCCAACCATAAAAAGATCCCTAAATCACTGTTATAAAATTATCTCTATGAGAGAATTCTCATAAGCCAAACTCATCTTTTCAAACCAGAATAAAGTTACAGATTGATGGTCAGTACATGTAATGATAGAACTTGGATATATTGACTCAGCTGTTTGTATGTGCAGGCGTGAGAGTAGGCATTTCAGCAGCAAGAATAAGTGTTGTATAATAAGGATTTCAAAGGGGTATATCATGGCAAGATAATGAAAGTCTTCTGGTTTAGAATGTCAAAAGAAGATAAAATATATTCCAGATACTGATCATCATATTTTTTGTAACTTTTTATTTGCTTCTGGATTATCTGGTTAGATAGGTAAAACATGGAACAGTTCTCCACACATAAGGAAAACTAAACACTTAAATAAGCATATGATTGAGGAAAATTCTGTTTCTTCACATATAAGTTCAAATGTAAAACAACACATTATTGTATAAGCTGTATCAATGACAGAATCATAGTTTCTTTCTCTTAAAATATCCCATGTCCCGAAATTCCTGTCTTGTAGCTATACGCACATTAACTATTCAGATAGTTTCTGTGAAATCTATTGGGACTTGTGTACTTCATAGTCATCCATGTTAATCTTTATAGTACGCAACAGAAACTGTATGCCTGCCCACTTTGTTCTGAAATTAATTATTATCTTTATGCTTCCATACATACAGCACAGGTTATATTAAGTGGACTTAAGATTTACAGGGTGAAGTATCCACATTTTCCATCTGACCTTTGAATTCCATAGTATTTCTTTGTCATGATTTTAAATACCTTCTTAAAGATAAGATCTTTTCATTACAGAATTGTCTTTCCATATGTTCCTTATTTTTTGGGTGGGGTGTCATACAGAAATAGTAATACTTTTATTAAAATGTATGATCACTCCTACCACTATTTTATTAAAATAATGCGTTTGATTCCT